GGGGAGCCACCAGGAGGCGTTAACTGTAGTTCCGGGCCAGGTGTCCCCACTAACGTAGCACGCGGGGGCGGGGGAGTTTATTCGGAGTTGCTCGCACCGAAGAAACACTGGCTGAACTGGCTTTTTCCTTCCGGGGATTGCTGTGGCCGGGGCAGGAGGGCGGTTCCCCCGGGCGGGACCCAAAGAAACTCGAAAATAAAGTTCCGGGGAACGCGCTGTCGGGCCCCGGGGCGTCCACGCGACGGGCTTCTTGGCGCCCCCTCGCTGCGTTGCCCTCCTCCGCTTCGACCCTCCCGCCCTCATCGTCCTGTGCCCCCCGCTGCCTTCCTTATTGCGGGCTTCAAGGGCTTCTCCCGCTCTGAGTTCTTCGCGGGAAAATCTACATATTGAGGGAAACCCCGTCAAGGAACCCAGTCTCGCCTCCCACGCGCGACCGTGTGGGTGACCTAGTCGTGTTGATGACTGAGCTCAGGCGGACGGGCTTATTTTCCTTAGGTGTGCTGACGTTACCTTCGAGGCCTAAACCCTCTGAGAAGGAAAAGGAGCGCGATTCTTCGTCTCCACGTTCAGCCGGAATCTGAGCGATCTAGAAAGCAGCATCGGGCAGCGGGGGATAGGCGGTGGGAGCGAGAGACACTCAAGAGAGCGTCCCCCGATGGGGGAAAGCGGCAACAGGTCCCTGCTATGTGAGAGGAAAAAGGCGTTGAAATGGACTGTCCGTAAGAGGTTGAGAGTCTAATCGAGAGGTAGACATGGCTGGCCGTGGAGGCTCACGCCCGTAACCCCAGCACTTTGGGAGGCTGCGGCGGGAGGATCGCCTGAGCCCGAGAGGTCGAAGCTGCTGTGAGCCGCGCTGGTGCCACTGCCCTCCAGCCTGGGCGAGAGCGAGACCCCCGACTGGGCGACATCATCCGAGAGGAGGGCAGGGAAAACGGTGCAACGGGAACACGGAGGAGGGGCCCCCCCAGAGCAAGGGAGAAGTGTGGAAGAGATGACACGCCTGAGTCAGGCACTGAAGTTTGCCAGCAACGAGGTGGGAAAGGTCATTCTTTCCAGAGCCCGCAGTGTGTGCAGGGATGAGGGCGGCCTGCTGGGGAGCTCGGAGTTCCCTGCAGGTTAGCGTCACCGGGAGGGAGCGTGCAGGCAGGAAAAAGTAACGCTGACAGCATTCTATGGTCCAACCACCAGCATTTAAGATTCTTTTTTCTAGTGGCGTATGTCGTTTCCAATTTTTAAAACACGTTTGCTGTTAATTTGTTAATCTCATCAGTTAAATAGTACTGGTTGCCGGGCTCGGTGGCTCAGCCTGTAATCCCGGGCTTTGGGAGGCCGAGGTGAGTGGATTGCCTGAGCCCGAGGGTTCGAGACCCGCCTGGGCAACTTGGTGAGCCCTCATCTCTACAATAAATCAAAAATCAAATGCGTGGTAGCGCATGCCTGTAATTCCGGCTACTTGGAAGGCTGAGGCGGAAGGATCGC